AATCTGTCTGTCAGAGAAGTTAGAAAACTTGCTTGTCAGGTGGCAAAAAGGAAAGTCCTTCCACGCCATAAACCTCTACAGATTCAGCAGAACCATTGGGAGTGAGAGAAATAAGTTATTAAAATCTTAGAGGAAAAATCAGATACTTAAGCTACCCCAACCCAAAAGAGTACAAGTAATGGCATACTTCCAGCTTTTTCTATGCTTTGTGATTTTTTTCTTATAGCAAAGGGCATCCTGCCTTTTTTTTTTAATTTTTTAAAGCACTTCAATACAGTGAAAATGATTTTCAGTATCACAAAAGATGTGATACTTTGATATTGGCTTTATTTTGGCATGGTACTTAAAGCCAGTTGGAGACACATTTTTTAAAAAAATTCCTCCTGAAATATTCTGTACTTATCTTGCCCTCTGCCTCTTCTGTTGTCTTGCCAACCTTTTTCTGTCATCACAAGGTGTTCAAATATGGGCAATGATGACAGAGCATAGACTAGATAATAATAATTTACTACAGATGTGTCATATATTTCTAACTGGGGGCTTTTCCATGCTCTGTGGAGGTCACTCACAGTAGAATTGAACCCTCAAAGCATTTACCTCTAGCCATAAATATATAGCAGACCTGTGCTATGTCAGATTTCCTGGGACTGTTTGATTATGCAAGGAAGGACTCTTTTGTAATGCTCATCATGCAGGCAGGGCAACCTTTATTGCTAAATGGCAGCTGAATTTTTTTTTTCTACAGATAATGAATACCTATTGAGCCTCTGTTATTGTTTGTTGTAAATTTTCTGTCACAGCAATCTGGATGTAGTGTTACTGTAAACCCACATTGTAATGTAATGACAATAAAATGAATCCCGTGCTAGTCTAAGAGAATCTATGCTAATACCATTAAAATGTGCTTACCAAATCAAAGCAAATGCATTAACATGTGGAAACTGTATTTATGCGATTATTATGTTCTAGCAATATGAGATTACTGTAGGAAGCAGCTAATCCAAACCTAGGGAGAATTCCTATTACAAGACCATTAAAATGATACAATGACTGAAGTGCAAATTTCAGATGAGAAAAGTGGAGACACAAATCTTGTCATCAATATTTGAGCAAACTCAGTGGAGTTTTTACAAGAATGAGGAAGGCAGTACCGTGACCTTTTTAGCAGCAAATCTCTTTCCTCTTAATAATACCTCTAGGAAAAATATTTACTTTACCAGTATTTAACAGTAGGCTAACTAAGAGAATCATATTTTGTGCGGCATACAATCAGTCATCATAGAGGTTTGACCAGAGTTTGTTACAGAATCATTAGTTAACATAGTTAAATATGTTAACGTGTTAAAGGAATTCTCATTTTCCTTTTATCTGAATATGTAATTTTCAGGGATTATCTTTTAATTCTTTATATATACAGCATCTAGGACATAGAAGTACTGGTCTGTGGCAGATCACCTACCTTTGTGCTACCACAGTATAAATTAATGATTTCCAAAACCAAAATATCTATAGTTGGCAGATAAGAGCCTGCATATTTGTTCTTGTGGTAGGAATATACCACCCCTCCCTTGCCTTCAAACTAGGTTAGGATTCAGGAAAAATAATTCACATCTTTTATAGAGGGCCATCTAAAATACAGATGTCATGTCCAGGGCTGTTTCTTGATTCCCCTTGTCCATGGAAAGAGGCAGATACTTCTAACAAGTAATTTGCCTTGTCCTGTTCCTTGAAAAGTAGGTTAGATGAATTGCCTGTAGAGATGGCTTCCTCTCTCTTCTTCTCTCTGCCTCTCTCTGGAAAAGAGCTACCCTGGACAAGACATCCACCAGTTTCGAAGGCTAAAATGATGTGATATGAATTAAGTTTTATGTACATGGAAGAAGAAACTTGTGCTCAGAAAAAAGTTTGGTATAAGACATGGAATGCAAGTAATTATTAGAGCACACGAGTGTTGATTTCTGTAGTAACGTTTACATGCTTCAGTTAAGCAGCAATCCATTTAAAAACTTTGAAACTAAACTCTAGTTTAAGGAAACTAATTAAATTATAGTACCATCAGGTGAATGTTATTAAAGATAATATATCATTATAAGATAATCATGGCATGCTATCTATGTAAATGACAGCAGAGGAGATATCGGGATAGTGATTTCAAAAATAATTCCAATCAAAAGTTATTGGCTGTCTTTTTCATATTTTTTTATTAAAATTGGTGGTTTTCTAAAACTGTTAGTAAGCAAGTACTGACATTAATTAGCAGTAATCTTATTTTTCAGGAAGATAAAATTAGTCCTACCTTAAATATTGTTTGTTTCTGTTTCCATCTTTGTGATGCTTCTTATATTTGTAGAAATACTTGGTCTAAATCAAAAGGTTTGAAAGTATGTATTAGTTCTGTACATATGCTATAGTCTGAAGTCTAGAGTCTAAAATTCAACATACTAATCTCTGCTACAAGAAAAACCTGCCATTGCAACAGATAATTTTAGACCTTTTACCCCTGTTGTAAATCAGAAGACAGCGTCCTCAGCTATAGGTCGATTCCCCCCACCCCCACAACCTGGGTCTTCATAGGGCTCAGACCAGATTGAGACTAATCCAGTTTAACTAGGTCAGAAAGGAATTAATAGCAACAAGTGCTGAAAATCAACATTTTATCAAAATAGTAATCTGAAAGCAGAAATTCTGATGCAATAAAAATGGCTTTTGTTGAATAACAGCACGATATAACTATAAAGTGGAAACTTGTTAAGAAGACAGACTCTAATCACTTAGTGTCTAGTTTTATTACAGGAACTTCATTATACTTGTGTTTAAATACTTGTGTATTTAATTATATACCCAGATGGGCTTGAATATGGTCAATGAACACGAGGGAGAAAAGTGTGTCTCCAGTACAACATGTAAATATCTATCTATGCTGTCAGGGCTTTACTGAATAGCAGAGCATGGATATTTATTGCAAAAAAAATAAAGGTAATGCATTTATCTTAATCTCTTTGCTATGAATATAAGAGTGACTCAGATCATTGAACTTTGTCCAAAATTGTGGGTTGCTCTGTAGAGTGCCAGCTTTATTCAAGAATTGAATTAATGTCTAGGTTGGACAACTTAATTGAAATGCAGCTAGTCGCAGTTTCTGACTAAGACAGGTATTTTGCTTTTAATTATTTGCTCAAGAATAATATTTTCTGAAGTCATACACTTCTTAATTTATTTGGCAAAAAATAAATCATTATATTAATCAGCCAGCAGTCTGTTCTACCAAAGTAATTATTCTTCTGCCTTCTCAAACAAGTCGACACACTAGTCTACAAATGAAATTCATAAAAGAACAGTCCTTTCTAAGTGGAATTTTCATACATATCTGCTTATTCACAAGGCAAGCAAACATAGTCAGTCAGTCCCATCTCTTTCTTAAGGATGGCCAAGTTTTCATATTAAAATAACTGCAAGCACTACAAGCTCCTTGCTAGGCAGTCAATGTCTCCCTTTTGCAAGGAGGTGGGTCGCTGTTCCTGTGTTGGTACTCTTGACAGTGACTCTGGCTCGTGAAGGGAAGTATCTTCAAAGAGATTGAGATGGTCTTGTGCCCTTTGATATGTAGAGTTCAATGCCCTTCAGATACCAGTTTTTCTGTCATCCTAGTAGATTAACTCTCATAGTTTAAAGGAAAATGTCCTCTGAGGGCTTCGCCAGTAACAAACACGTATGTGATATTATTCACTAAAAGGGAGACAGAGATGGGAAAGACCTCTCTCTTTAATCAATATTGCATGCTCTAGTTAGTCCTGTCCTCTGGACATGATTAAACATGTATTTTGTTTCATAACTGATGATTTTGGTTGACTTGGGATTATAACTACATATCCCCAAGCCTTTGCAACTAGCATCAAGAAGATCTAACATGAACTGGGTAGTCAGCTATGTTTAATGTTAATATGGCGCATAAACTAAAGAAATCCCCCTCCCCAGAAAATCCCCATAAACCCTAATGGAGAGAGTTGCAGCTAATTCTAACCTGAAGAGATCCAGGCTATACTTGTAGAGACCAGATGCTTTTGACAGGAGCCGATTCTGGGCTTTAGCCTCAAGGTATATCTTTGTCACCACTCCTTTGAAGTTTAAAAAAATAACGTGATTTAATTCATTATTAAAGTTGAAGAAAAAGAATCTTAGCGGCTGAGCCATATAAATGAAATGTTAGGCTAAGGTCTGTTTCTAACTGATAAACTATTTGGGCAACGAAGCTGACAGAAAATAACACATTGGAGCTAGACTGGACTTTCTGCCCTGCTGTTTTGGGGACCAAACTCTCTTTTCAATTTCTGTTGACAGTCTTGGAGGAATAGCACTGGAGTTACTGCAGGCTCACCGAGTGCACCTGGCAGGAGAACTGGAGCCCCTGCTACAAAGCTAGGAAGATGATCATCTCCATCCCTGTGTTCCTCATGCAGAGGGGCATACAGGGTGCCCAAATATAGACAGGTTCCTTGGCATGAGAAGGGGACAGAGAGTCTTGGAGGACGCAGATAATTAAAATGAAAGTATCAGTTAAGGAATATTCGGTCTTAATGCCAACTCGGTACATCTGGTGGCTCAAGCTGACAGAATTTGACAGCTGCTGAAGAGCAGGGAATCCGAAATGAACATGCAGTTGTTGTTATTAAATAGGAAACATTTAATAACATGCTATTAAATAGAAAGCATTTATCTTAATGTGATAATAAATGTTGATGATCTCCTTTTATTGGAATAAGATATTTTTACATTATTAAAGTAGTGATATAAGCTTACTTGGATGAAATAAATGGTTTGTTTTTCATATTAGCCACTGTACTGGAAATAGCATTTGAAAACATTTTAACAAAAACGTCATGTCTGTGTGTATGTATGTGTGAGTGAGAGAGAGAGTGAAGGGAATTCATAGAAATTGTGTAAGAATTTACAGCTTTTTATCAAATATTTTCATTTTTATTTCATTTCTGCTTCCTTACCAGACTCTTTTAGGATTGGATTTTTGTTTTGTTTTTTTTTGAAGATCGCTGAAGAAAAATGCCTTCCTTGGGAGGAAAAGTGCAGACTGTCTTGGGCCTTGTAGAACCGGACCAGCTTGGCTACACATTGACTCATGAGCACTTGACTATGAACTACAGCTGCTGCTACTGTCCCCCTGCACCAGACCAAAAACCTCTGTCCGAGGGGCCCCTTGAGATGAAGAACTTGTTTTGGATTAAGCAGAATCCCTATAGCCATAAAGAAAACCTTCTTTTGTGTCAGGAGACTGATGCTGTAAAGGAGGAGCTGTTGCTTTTTAAAGCAGCAGGTGGTGGGACTATAGTGGAAAACACAACCACAGGAATTAGTCGGGATATGAATACTTTGAAGAAACTTGCGGAAGAAACTGGAGTCCATATTATTGCTGGGGCTGGGTTTTATGTGGATTCCACTCATTCTTCTCATACACAGGCCATGACAGTGGAGCAGGTAAGTCTTAACCACTATTTAGGGATCTCTCTCTTGTGATTTCTCCCTGAATGGTTCAAAGTTGGAGAGAAGACCAAACAAAATAAATTCAATCTAAAAGTTCCCAAACTGAAAAACAAAGAACAACAGTATTACTGCTGGTGTATTATAGCTGGACCAGCTGTGTGTACTGGAATTATCTGTCAGCATTTCCGTTTCTTAAGCTCCGTTTTCTCTCAGGGATTTGTTATAATGCAACAGTAAAAATAAAATAAAATTCTTCATGTGTAGGCATCTGGTACAACACCAATTATCCCGTTCTTTTACAGTTTCTAAGGAAGGACTATATCTCTTCTGCCTCTTTTGTCTCTTTTTCTGGCTAATTGCTTCCCAGTAAGATCACCCCAAATTCTTGCAAAAAGCATAAATAATTGTGATATTTACAGAACAGTTGTAAATCATCTCTCTACTCAAGCTGCCTGTTATACCTCTCTTCTCTGCCGTTCTTCCAGGCTTTTCGGAGCAGAGGCTTCTTCCTGTTGTTTGTACAGTGCCTAAGACAATGTGTTAATAATGACTATGGTCCCCAGATACTTCTATAATAATAAATATTCATTCATCTTTTATTAAGAAAAGGTGATGATAGGAGCAGAGGGAATGGAACTCTCCAAGGCAGAAGCCTGTGAATGTCAATGAACAGATCTGAGAAAAAAAATAAAAAACAATCTGTTATAGATTACAAAAGAGTCAACTTCATTTAAAAATAAATGGTCAGAACCTCAGCAGACGTAAAATAATACAGCTCTATCAACCTTACTGGATCGAAGCTGTATGGAACAGTCCTGCTTTTTGTAAGTATTCTTGCATCACTTGGAATTTGATCCAAATAGATTTGTTAGGGCAGAGGTTTGCCTCCTGTATTTGATGGACTGCTGAAGACCCACAGACAGTCCAGTAGTCAGCAGTTAATACGCATACCAGTCCGAAAGACAATTGTTACCTCCGAAGGGTTGTGCAGTGACTGATCCGTGATAAAAAGTGGTTCCTCACTTGCCATTGAATTTGACATGATGATCTGTTTTCTGACTAGGCAGATAATTTAAGTATTTTGTTCCCTTACCTGCACAAGGGAAGTATGTGGCTGTTTAGCTATCCACTTGGTAGGTGTTTAGCCCGAGTTAGGGTGCAGGGCTGTTTAGTGGCACAAGATATTGCTGCAGGAGAGATGGTCCTTGGGTTGCTAGTAGAAGAGAAGTGAATTCTGTATCTGATTGTCTGTAGGGATGCTGGGTAAATTGGTTATACATGAAGCAAAAGGTGCCTTATCACAGGATAAAGTACTGGGCAGAACCTCACCTGCTGTAAAATATAATAGCTTAGAGTGACTTCAGCATGTAAATTATATATTTACTAGTACGTTATGTGAGCTTATTGAGGAGACAAGATGGAAGAAGGATACATCACAGATTTATTTTGAAATTGATGTGGGTTTTTTTTTGGTTTTCTGGATGTGCTTGCAAATCTTTCTGCCCCCTGTGTTCACTTTATTTTTATTCTTCCTTAAAATCATCTTTTCTTTAACATTTGAGGCCAAATATTTAGAAGGTCGTCAATATCATTTTATGTCATTTTATACTTTCAATTCTCAATGCATTTGTTAGGACTTAGGGCCTATTCTGGTAAATAAAAACTACATATTTTATAACAAAACAATGTTATTAGGAGATTCTGATGTTTCATTTGTCTACAGATGTTTTAAAAACAAGCTAACTTTGACTCTGTAATTAAACTCTGTTTTTATAGTTCTGAAGTAATTGGAGTTATTGTAGTTCCACGTTGGCGTTCCCACGAGCAGGATTTGCCTCAGACTTGTCTCTTCAGGATTTATCATACGTAATCTCTGCCAGTTTTGACCCTTTCCTATCTGAGTGACAAGGATTTCCTATTCTCTGAGCCCTTGTTTAACAAGAAACTACCTTGAACCAATTTAGGAGTTGGAGGCACGGGTTTCATGCTGAGCTAACCTTTTTTATTTGGTTTTTTTTTTAAAAGAAAATTTAGCCTCAGCTGAAATCAGTATTCAAGTTATATGTAGACCAGCTTTTCTCACAAACCTGGGCAACTGTTTGAGTGAATACTGTTAACTGATTTGCATCTGGGTTTATTTTGGTCTTAGTTAATGGCCAGCATAGCGCTACTTGACAGAAACTAGAGTTAAACTGTCGTGGTTTCACACGCACACCTGTTAATTACATGAGTTTAGGAGGACCTCAGGAGTACACCTAGTGCAGCTTCTGTAGGCCAAATCTGTTACTCTTTAACATAAATAGTATTAGTATCCAAAAATCTTATTTTCCTGCTCGTTAGCTTACAGGCGTTATTGTTGATGAGATACTCAGTGGAGCGGATGGGACGAACATAAAGTGTGGTGTGGTGGGAGAAATCGGCTGCTCCTGGCCCTTGACTCCCAGTGAACGCAGAGTGCTTCAGGCGACCGCACACGCTCAGTCACAGCTTGGGTGCCCCGTTATAATCCATCCTGGCAGAAATAGTGATGCACCTTTCCAGATTATCCGCGTTCTGCAAGAAGCTGGGGCCGATGCTTCAAAAACGGTCATGTCTCACCTTGACAGGTAAGCAGACTATTCTGCAGTTGTCCGGGCAGCGCTGCCATGACACAGTGAAATTTTGGGGAACAGCTCTGTAAACAACTAGGGTTGTGTAGTGCTCTGGGATCATTATGTGAAGAATTGTCTTCAAGTTTACTGATTTTGAAAATACAAAACTGCTTGTTTAGAGCTTGATCAGCTACCAACAAAGTCAGCCTGGCTCAGCTCTTAAGTCCACATTCGTAAAGAGATTTAAGGACTTTAAATGTTCTCTTTCAAGGCCTGAGTGTGAGATTAGGAGTAACTGTAGCCACGTTTTAAGAAATGGGGATTCCACACTGATTTAAATGCCCTCACAAATCGCTGCATTCAAAAGATGTTGGACACTGAGCAGTGGGAAGCTGCTAGGCTGCCAGCACTGTTGAAAACTAGGTCACCCTTAAGGGCCTGCCCAGAATCTCATGGATGCTAATGGAGAACTCATTGATTTTGCTGGATTCTGGGTCAGAACAGAAACCAGATCTTTTCAGTTCTACTGCCAGACAGAAGAAATACTGATTAAAAAAAAAAAAAAACACTTAGTTGGATTTTGGGTAGTTCTTGTCTTAGACCAAAGAGCTAACTTTCAGTTTCCTTGAGAACAAGAACCAGAAGCCCCACGTCAGCCATGGAGAAGAATTGGTGCTTTTCTCTCTCTCCAATTTAGAAACGCAGCCTCTTTACCAAATTAGTTTTGTGTGACCTTGTGTAGTTCATGATGAGTTGGAAAATGTCCAAGCATTGATTAGTTCTGCCAGCAGCTAATAATGGAGCCTGGCTGTGGTCATATGACACTCAGCAATTGGATTGCCTGTCCTCATTGTGAGCATGAGCACTGTGCTCCAAATTTCTAATGATTATTGCGTTCTATGAGCTTACAAAACAAGCTAGAAGTGCTTTGTAGTCATACAGAGCTCAAGGTTTTACTTGGGCATTTTAGAAGCATAAAATTTAGGGACATGAAATTTTATTTGTATTGGATTAGACAAATGACATATGCTTTCTTTATGTATTTCCATGTTATATTCCATTTTATGTGTAACTATATTTTTCTCTAATTTTTTAAGAGAAACTGATGACCTAAGTCTTTGTGTAAAAGAGGACTAAGCAAATTGCAGGTGTTGGCACTTATGTAGCCATTTTGATACAGCATAAATGTCCAGTTTGTGTGTTTTGCCATTGTACGCTGTTGGGAATCATTGAATTCACTGCTTTATTGGTGGAAAAATAAAGAGTGTAAGTAGGAAAATAGTCAAGGCAGAGGTGCAGTTTCAGTGAACAGCCGCTGACAGACAATATGGTATTTCCTGATACTGCTTCTCTCGCTTTCACACATTCCAGCTGGCACTTGCTATAACACAGCTCTAAACTATTGTGAAGTTTGGCTTTGCAATGCACATTTAACATTTTAAGTCTCTTTCAGTAAGAAGAATCCATGTGGGAGCATCCCAGTCACTTAAATGTGAGATAAATTTGTACATAGCTCCGTATTTCATGCCTGCCTTTGACATAGACATAATGATAGTTTTCAGCTGGAGTTACGGTCAAATGACAAGACTAAAATGCTAGCTACCACGTTCTGCAGTTTGGCACCTTAGAACAAAAAATAGCAAGTATCTATAGTAAATGTATGGTGTACACGAAGGCTAGGAAGCAAAAGCTAACGAATCTTGGTTTTGGTCATTTAATAGGAATTAAGGATACAAAGGTGTATTTCTAGAGATGAACATGCATTCATTTCAGTAGCTATTGTTGTAAGACTGTTACGAAGGTCTGTTTGATAATGCATGGTTTGGTGGTGTCCCTGTGGTGAGCTGTGGATCAGATCTCCTTTTCCTGCAGTTCAGGGACCCTTGTTGCCCAAACAAGTGAAGAAGCACACGGATAAGCGTTCAGAGCTGGGAACTGCTGCTGTTGCCGCATCAGTGTAGCTTACAAGGGGACCCAGTGGCTGATGAAATTAAGCTCTCCTGCTCTTTGTCAGGACAGAGTGCCAAAAAGCACAATACTAATAGCAGTTTAGCAAAATAAAGTAGTCTGACTGTGATTTTGAAATGCAGTGGTGTTAAAAAAAAACAACCTCCCATTGCCACTTTCAGACAGGTATTAGTGTTCTTGGCTATTGTCTCTCTGTGAACTGAGCAGGACTGGATCTGAAATTACCCCTTCTCCTGTTCTGCACTTTGAAAACCCATTTGGTTTTCAAATGCTCGTCTTCTGTAAACTGTAGTATCCATTTAAAAATAACATTTTTTTTTATTAATTACAGTTGGCAATTCTTCGACTCCTACTGATTACAAGCTTGTTTGAACATGGGCTTTCTCTCTCTTAACCCATCTGTTCCTCCTACTTGATCCTGCTGTTAAGTCACAATATTAAAGTTGTGACATCAGTCATTTCCATAGCAACAGACTGTGATGTAATTGAATAGGGTAGAATTACTTTGTGACATCAGTATCCATAATAATAATAATAAAATAAAATTGCTCCTCTTCTGGATAAATATGCTGTCCTCATGGAAACCTGATTTTTCTCTATATGAAAAAGATTGCATTATGGTTAACAAAGATGAATTTGCAATGTCTTATTTGAGGGGTTTTGCTTTTTGTTTTTTTTTTGGTTAGCTTATACTCTGGGTAACAATGTTTCAAAGGAAAAAAATTATTTCAGAGAGCTATTACTTCAGTTCTGGGTTTTAGGAGCTTTGTTCCTTCCAGCTTGTCACTTTTCAAATCTGATGCAAAGCCCATGTCCCAGGTATTCACAGTGCTATTATGTATTTTGGTAAGAACATTTCCTGAAGGTGTTCTGGCTGGATTCCAGCGCAAGCAATGATATATTGCAGTTCTAATGACAATCTGGAAACATCACTGTACATAATAGAAACTAAAGACAAAGTTGTGTATTAACGGTGTTTGATGGATGAAACAAGCCCTGGATGTAGCTGTCTCCTGTAACTCTTTTGGGAAAGTAAATCTGTCTTGTGTAAGTAATCCGTTGTCTTTATTTAAAGGTCATTCTGAATTAACCTCCTCCTTAAATGCCCTTCCTTGTTAGGTGGTCTATTGAGAGGTTTAGTGAAATCAGAAGTAAGTAACTTTTCTCTTTCCATTTAAAGATGATTATAAGTGTACTCATTATATCATGGGAGAAGGATTGGTTTTGTTTTATTTTGTGATGCCTGAAATCCCAGATGAATGTGAGAAAGACAACATTGTGTATCAGTTTAATTTGCATGTGTCAAACAGGAGTTCCATTTCTCAGAAGGGTGAATTAACTCTCAGATAATTGTTTCAATTCCTTGGAAGTAGGAAGTCCCCAAATACCTATCCTCATGCCACGAGATTTTTTTCTTCCTTTTACAAGGATGACTTTGTATTATGTTTGTTCTGCAGGACTATATTTGATGCAAAGGAACTTCTGCAGTTTGCTGAACTTGGATGCTATTTAGAGTACGACCTATTTGGTACAGAATTTCTTCATTACCAGTTCTACCCTGACATTGATATGCCAAGTGACAATGAAAGAATTGCAAGGTATCTACTTCAATGCGTTTTAAGTAATAACATTTTCACTGACAAATGAGTAGTATAGGTACATGTTTCAAGTGCATCACAGTGATTCTGCAGGCTGTTCACACTGTCATACTAAAATCATGGTAATTTTCTTCTGCTACTGTCATTTGTTTGGAGCAGCATGTATAATTCCTTCTGTCTGCAAAGGAAGGTGTAGAATCATAGAATGTAACTTGAGAAAAAGATCAAAAGCCTTTTTAACTTAATTCTCTGCCCTAATTACATGCTGATTTGGTGGAATTTTATCGTTTACCGCATGTATAGGCTGTCATGTTATAAAGCAGAAGGCTGGAGATACAGAATTTACGTTATTTTGTTTGAAACATAGTATTGGAAATCTAGCGTTGTTACTATGCATCACCTAAGCCTATTATATCTTCTTATGTATGTGCTGAATGAGCTGAATTCATCAGTCGTCTTGCGTGGATTTGGTCCTGTGTTTCTGTCCTACAAAACAGTCTTTTGTTCTTCCAAGCATTTTATCATTTCTCCTTCCGCTCTCCTTTTGCCCTTTCTCCCTTGTGAAGGATGAGATTCCTGTCTCTTCGGAGCTCTCGTGCTCTTCACATTCACAATGTGAAAGTACTGGCCCTACTGGCAGGATCTCTGTTCTCTGTTTCTCATCAGTGCAAGCAGTCTCAGCTCAGTTGCATGACAAATCTATGGTGCTGTACTAATACAACAAATTGCCAGAGAGATGCATTCCCGGCAGACACTGTCTGAAACAGGTATGGTCAGCTGGGAATGGGCTTCTCAATCCTTCCTCTCTGCTCTGAGGTGTGATCCTCCTTTGCTGTTTGTCCATAGTATTCACACGTAGTCAAGTGGCAGCTTTCTGAGGGGTGGGATGTGAGCCTGCCTACCAGTCAGAAACAATTCTTTCCTTCTCTGATGAGATGGCTTTTATGATCCCTGATTGCTAATGAAGTTACTTTCTAGCTTCCACTTGTATTTCAGACATTGCTTTTCTGCCAGGTTAGCTGCAAAATTTTTCTGTTTTCAGGCTGTCCTCCTCTTAAGAAGGTCTTGTGGGTACCGTTCCACTTACTGCCAAGTTTGAGTGCTGCTTTTCCCACTGGAAATCTTTTCTCACTCTTAACTGAGCTCTCAGTCTTGCACTCAGTATTTCAAGCTGTTGTAATGAATCTACAGTTTTCACATCTAAAATTGCTAACATTGCTTTTTGGGATAGTTCACCTCCCCTCTCCTCTTTCACAGTAGATCAGCCTGTACAGAAGCACCGGGAGGACAATGCATGGAAGAATAGACTGGGCCTTGGTTAACAGGTGTCCGTCTGTTCAACCCTGGCAAAGCTTTATTCCATCCATAATATCCCCCTCGCCGCAAATGTCTCACCTTAAACTGCCTGCTACTTGAGTGTGTATTGCAGCAGCCTGCTTATAGGAAGAAAATACTGAAAGTTTGTCTTCTCTTTGTTTGGTGTGAATATGTGCCTTTGGGTTAGAAATACCATTAAATGGATTTTGATGTACTTTTGATGCATCCCCACTGGACATACGATAACAATGGCAATCTTCTTGGGTTGTTTTGATCAAACAGCACCAGAGCGGTAGAAATAAAATTGACCCTTAAATTTGTCTATGAAAATACTAAATGAGAAAAACATGCCCATTCTTGTCCATAGTATTTAAAACTTAAATAAACTTCTACAGTCATACCCCTCCACTGAAATGCCGTTCAACGGTGTGTGCATTTATGGATTTCTGTAGTGAATTTTGCTAGGAAAGTTTTTCTTTGAATCAGAAACAAGTACTAACTGAAAGTACAGACATGAGCAAGAACAAGCAGTAAATACAGAAGACCATATGCCTCCCCAAAACCACAAAATGAGTCCAAACTGAAAGGAGGTGATTGTAAGACAATGGTTTGCTCTTATTCTCTAGTGCGTGTGATCTATCTGTATTCAAGTCTGAGGAAGACACTTGTGATGTTGTAATTGTACGGTATACATAGTATTGTGCACTGTATGGCACTATTTACAGTAGTTTTATGAAAGATGCCAATTTTTTGCCAAGTTCTGTTTTACTTGCCGTCTTCCTACTGACCGTATTGATTTGACCCTGCTACATGTACCTCTTCATAACTAATTATAATCAGAACAGACAGTAAGAGCTTTCAGATAGAGTGTGATTACTTACAAGACTAGTATTTGCTTTGTTGCTGATAAAAGTGAGGTCAAGAAAATAAAAATCTGAATCTGATAGTGCTGGAAAATGATGGAATTGGGTGGCTTAGCGTGGAATGAAAACTCTCCAGGTTTGTTATATTCGTCTCTGCCATTTACTGCTTGCAAACTACTGCCAATGCAAGTAAAAAACCTGAAACTTAGTGGCATACTTGACCGTTGTACTTAGTAGTACAACGGTTAGTAGTTTAGATGCCTACAGAATAAATTCTCAAAAACAAGCTCAGCAACGGGGTTAAGCTTACCAGAGAAAAATGTGGAACAGAAGGACTGGCACAAGCGTTTGTAGCAGACTTGGTTGTCACAGGAAAAGGGAATGACCAGAATGATTACAGGTTTTCCTGTGCTGATTTGCTGTCATTTTGCCAAATCTGTTCTGCTGGGCTGCTGTATTAATTCCTCTTCTTTGCTGGCATATGCTAGCCCTGTACAAAGCCTGTCTTGCTCATCCTCTTCTTTGACAAACATCTTTGAAACGTGTTTGGATGTTACTGTCTGCATGGAATGTGATCCTAACAACTTAAAAATTCTATTAACCTGGTTATTCTAAATGAAAGTTAACTAAAGATGTGAAAGTGTTTGCGTAATTGAGCCAGACTTCACAAAGCAACTGCCACAAACCGAGGCTAATCCTTAACAACTGTAATGGGGTTGGTAACAGCAGCAAGAACTAACCCCCCGAATCAATCATGCTGAAAAGCAGTTTATGTAGGAAATTGTTACGTACTCATATATTTACAAACTGTGCCCCATGCTTGCTGATGGTGAAATTCCTGAATTTCTCCATGGACTTAGTGGGATTGGGAACACAAAGCAGTGTGCCAGCTGGAAAGAGAGTTTTCCGTGTCCACCTTGAGAGATGTGGTGGTACCCTGCTTTCAGAGGTGGTTTTTTCACTCTGTAAAATAAGTACTTTAATTTTAATTCAATATAAGAAACATTTATTCTGCGTTAACTGGAAGTAATTAATTTCACTTATAACACAGTCTAGCAGTACAGTGATGTAAAAAGGTTAAATATTGATTACTTCGGTGGTGTTGCAGAGTGAGAACCTTTCACTGACAGTTATACTTTTTACTTTTGCAGGATTCGGATGCTGATCAATGAAGGCTATGAAGACAGAATTCTGATGGCTCATGATGTGCACACTAAGAATAGGTTGATGAAATATGGCGGTCATGGATATTCACATATCCTTAAAAATATAGTTCCTAAAATGCTAATTAGAGGCATATCCCAAAATAAAATTGATAAAATACTCCTAGAAAATCCAAAGCGATGGTTGACTTTTAAGTAGGGATAAGGAATAAATATTCCTGTTTTTTAGTAAAGCTTGATAAAATTCATATTTGTTTCAGGAGAACAGCCATTTTAAATTTTGGTTCTTTTGAGATAAACTATGAGATATTAATAAGATACCAACAAACTGATTGCGACTTCTCTTTTTAATTAAAACAACAAAATTATATATTCTGTCTACATTTTCTCCCTTCTAAAAGTCTGTTCATGAATGATTTACTGGATATGAGCCACCTGCAAAATCTTTTCAATTAATTATTAGATTACTCTCTAGAAACAGTTATTTTAATTCTGTTGTTATATGTTATCCAAAATATTTTCCAAGATGCATCATCTGTGCTTTGGAGGAAATTCAGTGCTTTGAATTAAATTCTCCCCCTTGTGGGAATGATTTTAATCCTTGTAATATTACTAATCTGTTAATTATGTTCATATCCTTTTAAGTAATGCTTGATAAAAGGTATGGCACTTTTAAATAGCTTCCAAAGACAACAGGAGGTAACAGAAGTTTCAAATAATTATAAAAAGATATTGTTTCTTTCTAATTTAACAACTTATTTTTAAATGAAAATGTAAAAAATGCATGGAAAAATATATTTTTGAATAAAGCAATGGAAAAATATATTTTTGAAAAAAGTAATTTGTAGACCTCTTAAACTGTGTGCAGTATTGTTATAGATGTTTTTTTAAATCACCTCAGATTTTCAAATAGAACTTTTGGAACCTTGCAATGGTGATGTGAAACTTCATGAAGGACAGCTGCTTTTTATAAGGATGCAACACCAAAAGTCAAAATATACTACATAATACAGTTTTAATGAGTTGCTATAGTTATAACAAAGATTGTGAGATAAGTCTTTACAAATCAGTGTATCAAGATATGATGAAAAAGGAAGAAATGTTTGCCTTATGCGTGTTTTTCACATAAAGTTTGTTCTTTCCTCTTGTCTAACATTAACCAGGGCAAGTGATTTATCCAAATAAAAGGTCTTTTGCAGTAGCAATGGCAGTCTGATTTCAAAAGCTTCTTCAAATTTAACCTCGTATGTCTTATAGTAATGAGCTTTTCCAATAAATACCTTAGTAAATATGCATTGCTAGTTGTAATGATCTCTAGCTTGATACATTGTCGTTTGATACTACATACAAAATCTCTAGCTACACTGCTGTGAGCGCACTAACCAATAAAAGCAACTATGGAATGAATAGACATGAAGTCAGTTACACAACCATTATTAAAATACATTACGTAGTAGAAAAAAAAAACAGGAGTAACCACTACAATGAACAGATATAGGTTGGCACTTTGTCGTAGAGTGAAAGCTTAACCAGTCTGATGACATAATACACAAGCAATATGAAGCACAATGTCCCTTTATAAAATCTAGATGAGCTAGACTGGCAATCCTCTTAGTGAACATAGACTAACTTAGGCATATATTTTGAATTGGACAACTATCCAAAACACAAACAGAAAGAATAACGTGTTCTGTTTAAGAAAAGCTTCACTCATTTAAACAAGAGATTTTTTTTTAGAGAGGTTCTTAAAATCTTCACCAAACTTCTACTGAGCAGTCAGCACAGAAGAGCTTTTTTTTTTTGTCACAATGGCAGACACTCTTGACATTTTAATGCAGATAAATCTGAGTTTGAACCCTTTACTTAGTAGAGTAGACAAAGTTGCTTCTCGCAAATTATATGAAATGGAAATGCTAGGGATAGCATCTATTACTCTTTAACAGTTTGTACAGATATTACCTTGATCTTGCCAAAATGTTAAAAATAATTAACATACCCAGCTATGCTAGGAAGCTAGTTAATTATCTTGCTAATATTTTGTTTTGGATTGAAATCTGCAAATTTTAACCTGAGAGAAATAGACAGCCTCCCCTCCCAAAAACAAAACAAATAATAATTCTTTTTTCAGAATATAAATATTCTGTGGATATTACTTCTATGACTGATTCTAAAGTATTTTTATAACTATGTAACTCATATTACCTGTCTTTAGTTCAATGCTCCAAGTCATTAATCCTTTATATGGATTAAGCTTCCTTGAGACTTTATATATATATATATATAGAGAGAGAGAGAGAGAGAGAGAGAGAGAGAGTATGTTTATATATGAATGAGAAAAATAGGTTTTAATACACACTTTTTGCATTTAAATATCTGCTTCTTTCTTTGCATATGTGTTATCATTTTTGGTAATATGCTTATCTGTGTCCATTTCATAGGCACACCTTACTACAAACTGATAATAAGCTACCATGGAAAAGGTCTGTGTGACATTTTCTCTGGTGTCAAATCTCCCACTCTTCCTCCGTGAGAGTACTCCCACTAACTTCAGTGAGACAAGATACCTAGCATGAATAAGGTTTTGACCCATTATATTAATACAGAATTCTAGTTGAACATCTGCAGTATGTTAAGTCATAACTATTTTATTAGAAATAGTACCCAAGTACAGACTAAGTGCTGAAAGACTAATGAGGACTGACTGCAGCAAAAAAAACATTCTACCTTGGTCTGAGGATACAGATGCTAGGCTTGCTAAATATTTACACAACAAACCGTCAAGAATGGGCCTGTCAAATTGTCTAAATATATATTTACACATGTTTATATATTAAGAGCCAAATCTTGTTTCCACTAAAATCAGTGGGACATTTGCCATTGGCTTCAGTGGAATCAGGGATTTGGTCCAATATAATAGTTAGTCAACTGTTACATCTTTTTTAGAAAAAGTGTTTCTTCTACCCTTCTTTTTCTTTTAGAACAGAGCTAAGGGGAAGACAAGATAAACAACTTTAGTGGTTTGATTTTATGTTAAAAATCTAATGTAAACCTACAAAGCAGGAACACTGAGTTAAGGCTTGAAGCTGATTAGTTTCTAGTTTTAAGTGGAAGGATAAGAAAAGTACAAGGCAAACAATTCCTTTGGAGAGAGAAAGTATATTTTGATTACCTCTTCCTTTTATTGTAAAATCATTCCTCACCACACTGAGTGGACTCCAAGCATCATTGTTAGCAAGTAAGTCACAAGAACCAAAGCTGATGTATGGATAAAGCAGCAAGATCATAACACACTGAAGTATCATATACACTGAAGAAATAACTCAGTGTCTTTCGTTTTTTTTTTTCTTCTATAAAAATTTGATCTATGTAGGACTTCATTCACATGGACACTAACAATAAATGTATTTGCTTTGGCGGTAGTGGATCACACATCTGTTTAACTTGCTTTGTAATTTTTTAACATAAGGTTTCTCCGTGTTGTACAGATGTGAATCAGGTAGCATTTGATTTTTTTTCCCCGCTACTGAGGTGTTCTGTGGTTGATCTCCGCTGGGGTGCTTGATTCATTGACTTTTGCCACGCAAATCCATTGCCCAGAAGAGCAAGCTTCATTTTTGGGTTGATTTGGTGGGTCTTTTTACTCGTTATCAGTCAGCATAAATAATAAATCCAGAAAATGTGCTGTATTTATTGTTGTTTCCTCCATGTGCTTTTCCTCCATCTAATTTAATGTAAACTTCATCTCCTGGCTCCAAATGAAGAACCACACTGTTACTGGCATAGTCGTAGTTCTGATCAGCATCCTGAGCAATTGCACTAGCTCGAACCTACATAAAATACATAATGAGTGGTTAAAACTCAGGTAATTTTTCCTGCATGGTGAAATTAAAGCATATCCTTAACGTTAAACTCAGCATGCATTTGTTGCCACTTTAAATGTCTAATAGCATACACTGTGGGGGTTTTTTTATAAGGATATTGCTTATTTTCTCCTATAATACAACAGTTGAACTTGAAGCAATGATCTGCCCATTTTTCAGTCATCTGATTAATACAACACTGCTTGCAGTCCTATAAATGTTTTGAGCCTTTTTTTTTTTTTTTAAATATGTAATAATAGCTAGAGTTCTGACAACTGAATTTGGTCTTGTGCAAGTTTACATTGGTGTAACTTTCATGTCAGTGGACCAATTGACTGACATTGGTGAGGTTCCACAGTGAGGACCTACTGATACCAGTCTGGAGTTTTTCCAGAAGTGATATATTATCATACTACTAATAGGCTCATGCAAAAAAAAATACACACACACACACGCGCGCGTGCACGCACAAGCAGGTAAGGCATCTAGTCCAGGCCTAGAAAGATGGTTATTGCCACATTTCCTTAAGTAAACCTTTAATTTCTGTGTAGTGTAAAAGATGCACATTTTAAAAATCAGGGGCATCTCCATTTACTTCAAGATGTTATGGAATTTACAGGTAATTGAGGACTTCCAACTGTATTCACAACTTTCACTTAAACACAGGTTTTTTCCCTTTCTCCATCGCCATCTTACTGCTGATTAAATTTGGCATGACTAGCAAACTGAAAGGAATATGTAATCTCAAGTCGCATGTTGGTTTCCAGCAGTGAATAGTCTGTGGCATTGTAAGTGTCCATTTATATATAATTTCATCCCATTTGGTCAAATATTTAAACTTATTTGTATGTGATTTATTTAGGTATAACACATCACCTGCTTGTTGCTTGTCCTTGTTCTAGCATAGTTATACAGAGCAGTAAGTGATTTAGTGTTTTTTGCAAACCTGAACTAAGTAATAATGCATGACTTGGCGTACTATATGTTGGATTTTATCTGTTCAGAATTGAAAAAATGAGCTATAAGTCACAAATTTCCATGGATTCCTTTCAAAGTTTAAATGATAAATTTCCAAATTAAATTTTCATGATACGATCTCACATTAATACTGAAATGTTAAAAAGGAGAAGGTTCTTAACCATGCAATATCTTACAGTATTATGTAGCTTAAGAATCACAGTGGGTGGAAATTCTTTGTACATCCCCTAAGAGTGAGAAGGGCTTAAAAGATCTGTAATGGTTTGACAGTGTGCAAATTTAAATTGATGCATTGCATGATAATACACAACTATTTCAGGACTTCTTGATCCTAATGCTTGGTATTGTTTACAGAGGTGATCTGTTTTGCTACTGTTTAAGCAAAAATTATTCAAAGCACAGTGTATTTCCTCTGGATTAATGACTAGCAGGGGTAGGACTGAAGGCCTTGCAACATTAACCCTTGAAATACCCTCCCAAGAAAACAACGTGGGCTGTGAGGTTGGTCACATAAATAGGAAGGAGGAAAAAGGCTATAGATGAGGTAGAAAAACTTTCCTGTAGATAGCATCTTGCATATTGGCAAAGCAAATGGTTTAAATTACTTTCAGAATCTCCACTTATATCATAATTAAATGCTACTTAGTGGATTTCTCTAAAATTTTATATTCCTGTGGATAGTAGAAGAGGATTCAAATTGTATTAGTGACTTTAACCATGTTCCCCATCATAAGGAAGTCAGCATATGGGCACTGAACAGAACAATGGACATTTCATTTTTAAGCTTCTAGACAGGGCTTACTGCCAGAAAAATAAAAGAATGACTAGGATATTGACTGTCCTGTACATAGTAATAAATGTCCCGTAAACTCTAGTGTGTTATCCTTAAGGTTTTTACCTCTTTTGTTTGATTACCCAATGTCATTTCTTTTTAAAACCTATGAGTACAGTCTCAAATAAATTCTCAGTGTACTGCTGCAAGAGTGATGTATCTCAAAATTAAACCATTAAAGGAGTATACATTTCGTAAGTTGCATGACTGCTCACCTCATCATTTCGTAAAGGTATGTTGGGACATTCAGATTGCAAATATACACATTAGTGAAGCTATGTGATCTCAGCACGTCTCTGTTCAAGCTCTGCAATATTAAAGAAAGCAGTGTGCTGTACTGGAGACCCTGAGATTCCTGATATGCATTGCTTAGGAATGACTTTTTCTATAAATGGTACACTTAATTGTTTTCTCATGCTAGAGAACACTGAATGCATAATGTTATCTTGGTCAGATTGTACTTAACAACTTAATTTCAACATTTCCAAGCTTTTTTACAGATATTGCAGAAAGTTAACTCCTGTCAAATCACACCAGCATTTAGTGTTTCAAGTGTAAATCAGAATCACAAGCAAGCACGGCTGCATTTAAACTATGTGTCAATTTAAAATAATTTGTATGCAGATTTTTACCCAAATCATTTATCTTTGCATAAATATATACAGATTCTGCATGCCTTAAATATATACAAACCTTTTTTTCTTTGAATCACTTCAGGTTGTATTTGTCTCACATCTGATACTGGAAGCAGTTATATTTGGGAATGGTTAGACTTCAGGGGCAAATTAATATTTATAATTAGTTACTTTTTTTAAAAAGTACTAGTATTTCATTATTTTCCTGCTTTGGGGAAAATAAACAATTTATAAGTTGCAATGACCAAAAAATAGGTTAATATCTTTTAATTGCAAATAAAATGGTATTCTCACTATGGACAGTACTGCCTTTATAGAAAGAAATCAAAGCAAATATTTTACAATTTACTTTATTTTATTCGTCCTGGTTTACGTGGTGAGATGGTATTTACGGTAGGCATTTTCTAAATTAATGAATTGCTGCCGATGTCCTCATTATTCTGTTTTCACAGTTCTTCCGAGAAACTATAAACAAAAGGTTAAGTGGCATATCAGCCTAAACGTACTGGCCGCTGATGCTTCCCTGTGTGATCCTGCGTTCAACACAAGAGCGAAGTGAAACGCCTCTCCGGTTACGGCAGGGTGGGATTCCTCGGGGTACCGAAGCGCTAGTGCTGTTCGGGGGAGGGGACGGGCGAACGAACTAACCCCTCTGCAACCCGAAAAGCGCCGCAGTGACACGGAATCCGCGTTTCAGTCCTACGGAAACCACTCGGGGCAGATCAACCCCCTCCTTTCCCGCCCCGTCCCAACCTACCCAGCAAGCGGGCGGAAAAGGCCGGCGAGCGTAGCAAACCTGCGCTCCGCGCCGGCCCGGTGGTGCAGGGGCCAGC